AATGCATATCCCAAGTATAGTCTACTGCACAGCAATAAAACAATAATATATAATAAACATTACATAAAAAAACAATTTTGGTCACCACAAATTTTGTATCAAAATTTATTGTAACTGGGCAAAGAATTGGCTAGCCAAATTCAATAAAAAACTTTTTTTTTTTTTTTTTTTACTTTATTCTATAGATACAGTATACAGAAAACCGAAATTCAATATAATTAAGATAATAGTAGTGCCTGACACCGGTGTTGTATACTGTCCCCGAGCTTGTCCTAAGATGTCCAACTTTATTCCATCAATTTTTCTTCAAAGCAATAATAAAATATATATATAACGATAATTAAAATTTAAACATTTGTACTTAAGGGCTGAATAAGTCATTGGCATTTTTTTTAAAAATCTCAATTTATTACTTGGCACAATCAAGCAAAAACTTAGCATTCAAATACATGATCAAAAATGGATCAGTTATCTGTTATATGTCGATATGTACTTTATACTGTACTGCTGTATATAACTGATGATCGTTTAATCTCCGACTTGATCAGTGACTTGATTATGCCGAGCACTATCGAAAAAAGTTTATAAATACCCGTTAAGAATATTTATAACCAACCTGGTGTATTAACGTTAGTAAAGCGTGAATACTACATTTGTCTCTTTGAATCTTAAGTGCATTTGTCAAATACGTACTCCGTATGCAATTCAATATCTACATATAGAACAATCAAAGAAAATTCCAGATTAATTTGATCAGCATTATTAACCCTTTTATGGTCGTTATTTTCTAAGTCCCAATCTCAGTTCTATTTCTTGCAAATAATGCAAAGTGAAATATTATTTCGAAATTACCCTCGTTCTATTGCCCTTCGACCAATTCAATTTAAATCTGATGGTAACCCCTACGAAAAATCAAATCCTTTATTATTATTATTTGATCAAATACAACAAAGCTATAACGATTCTTCATTACAATGTAATGTAAGACTTTTACGTGAATCCGAAGCTGAAATAAGGGAATATCGGTCACTTGGCTCGAGAGCTGTTTATGGGTGCCTTGGATTGCTTCAAGTTGAACAAGGTAATATATATATATATTTTTTTTCGTAAATTTAAACGAATAAATATATATTTTTTCGTAAATTTAAACGAATAAATATCTATTACTTATATATCTTTAAATTTTTAAGATATGTTCTTAGCTGTTGTAACAGAGTGTCGTCCCGTTGGGGCAATTCGTCCGAATGAGTCTGTTTTTCGAATTATTGATGTAGAATTTCATTCGCTTACCAATAGTACACGGTATTCTGTTTCGGCATACCCCGGCAATAGATCATACTACGATGACAATTCTTTCAACGATCAATTGCCACAACAATCTTACGAGCATCCATGTGCACAATTAAGAAAGTTACTATCTAATGGTCACTTTTATTTTTCTTCAGATTTTGACTTAACCAAGTCTTTGAACGTTAGGTATAATTTTATAATTTTATTCTCTGATCCGTTGGCAAAAAAATTTTTTTTTTTTAAAAAAAAAATATATATATTTTGTTAAAATCTTAGGTCAACAATATCATCGGCAGATAAATATACTTATGACGAACATTTCCTATGGAATAAGTTTATGATTGGTGAATTGTTGAACTTTAGATCTAAGCTTGATAAATTAAAACAATTAGAAATGGACAATTGCGGTTTTTTAGTAAGTTTTTTTTTTTGTACAGTTGAGTTGAGATTTTGTAAAATCTGTCTTTTTCTCATCTGGTTGCCTTAATTTAAAGGTATTAGCTATTCAAGGATATGTCGGAATGGAAGATACAATAATTGGTTCATCAAGTGTATCTTTATCACTCATATCTAAATTAAGTTGTAAACGTGCTGGTAAATTTTTTTTATCTAAATTTAAGATTTACCATTAGCGTTATCTGATGATTAGTATATTTTTTCTTTTCAAGGAACAAGGTTCAATATTCGTGGGTTAGACGATGATGGCAATGTTGCTAATTTTGTCGAGGTATTAATACATTTTAAAATTTAAATAGTTTATATCTGAATCGAAATATATATAATTACGTTTAATAACTTTTGATTGATTTTTCAGACTGAAATAATATTACAACTGCCTAAAACTTGCTTTTCTTATATCCAAATTCGCGGGAGCGTCCCAGGTATTAAACATTACTAGTTATGATTATTTATACAAATTAATACAAATTCACGATAATTCAGTTGCTCGTATTCTTATTTAGTATTTTGGGAACAGCAGGTATATCAAGTTATTATCTCATAATCATTTTTCTTAACTATCGTTCTAAATTCATCTAATGTTTATTTTTATTATTTTAAGGGATTACAAATGATGGCTCACAAGATTCAGATATCACGCGGTCCTGCTGCGACACAACCTGCTGTCGAACGTCATTTCAATGAACTGCAGAGCAGATATGGCAATGTACATATCGTAAATCTTCTTGGTGTCAAAGAGGGAGAATATGCATTGAGCAAGGAATATAAAGCTCGTATCATAGATTTAAATGGAAATGGTTTAGAAAATCGTGTATTGCTTACAGATTTTGATTTTAATTCAATCTGTAAAACTGGCAATTATGAAAATATGGTACATTTATTTAGCATGATTGGTGATAAAATAGAAGAATTTGCATTTTTTGCTCTGGATATGGAATCAAATTGTCCTATATTCTATCAAAAAGGTGTTTTTAGAACTAATTGCATGGATTGGTACTTATTACCATTGTTTATTTTATGTTTTATATCATTGCCTTAATTTGATAAATATTTATTTTTTTTATTTTATTAATTGTGTTTTAAGTCTAGATAGGTAATGTCATATTCACTTTTAGATATGCTTAATGCTCATCCGTAGAACTCTATGTTAATTCAAGGTTTACCATTAAATTTTGTAGCTTTGTATTATCCAAAGCAAAATCGTGATTAAATTTTGAGATTGAATCTTGGGTTGACATAGACTTTTACGCGTGAGAGTAATATGTTGTTATTTACAATGGCAATAATTTCTGGCTCAATAGAACAAATGTGGTCCAAACTGCATTGTCAAAAGAAGCGCTGAATACATATATTAAACTTATGGGAGATATTTCGCAGTTTGATATTGAAAGTCTCTATTCTCGACATTCTACTTTATGGGCGGAAAATGGTGATAGTCTATCAAAAATTTATACTGGAACTGGAGCTCTCAGATCAGAATACACTCGAAGTGGAAAGGTCACATGGGCAGGTACATGCAAATTCTGGTACCCATAAACTAAACATCATCATCATAATATATACATTATATATTAAATTGCCTTGTAGGTGTCCTTACTGATGCCACAAAGACCGTCAACAGGTTTTATATCAATAACTTTCAAGATAAGTCAAAACAGGAAACTATTGATTTGTTACTTGTAAGTTATTTGTGTCAAATTGAACAAATTATACAATCCAAGGAAATATGATTATAAATATTTTTATTGAATTTCTCTAAAGGGAAAATTGGTAAACTCCAAAGAAATTGAGATCCATGATCCAGTTAATGAGTTGATACGTGAAGACATGCTAAATAGGTAATGGTATAATGTGATAGTTATCAACCGAGCATGTCTATTCTTGCACTTTTATAAAATTATCAACATTGATATAATATGCAGGCTAAACGACTATTCTTCGAAGTCTACGATAAATGTATATGTCGGTTCATACAATTTGAATGGACATCTACCGTCTGGAGAGCCTCTTTCACCTTGGTTATTCGCTTTTAATGACCGTACGTAATGGAAATCCTAATTTTGCTCATTTCAATTCATTTTATTTTATTTATTTTATTTATTTTATTTATTTTATTTATTTTATTTATTTTATTTATTTTATTTATTTTATTTAT